GGAAAATTCACTTTAGGTCATGAAAAAGTTTTGAAGTTTTGTCAGAGAAAAAGAGTGTCCGCTGGTGTCCATAAACCGCTGTAAAAATTCCTTTCCCTCTCAGCCTCAGAAAATATGTCGTTTGAATTTTTCCAGGATTGTTGCGTCACAGGAAACTCTCACAGTTTTAAATCCATAAATCAGTGCCAAACTCATTCTAAGCATTTTTGCCGTTAAATCGTGTTCATTAGTGCATGCTTCATTAATTGACCTAGTTTAATGGGGATCTGCACAAGATTCCAGTTTGGGAAGCACCCAAACTTTGAAATAACATGTGTTTCTTTAATGAACTTTTATTTTAAGTTCTAAAACAGCAAAACATTAGAAATACTGAAGAGCATGTTTAAAAGCCAATAACACAATAATAATACAAACGCATAATATTCTCTTTACTGAACTTGTATTATTAAAGAGGACGTATTTTGTAAAATTTTGTTTTTTTCAAGCATATTTTAGTGTCCCTGTATTGTTCAAGATGTAAGAGCTCAGAAAATGTCTGTTTCACTCTTGGACCATGTTACAGAGAAATTGTACCTTGAAAACAAATCATATTTAAAAAGTATATGCTAATCGTACAGTTTAAATACCACAAATGTGTCTTCTGTCTGTGTGTGAGTGTGTGAGTGTGTGTGCGAATGGGTGTGTGTGTACGCTCTGAGATGTGAGCTTAAATAAAAGGTGACATTGGCTTCTCCTTGAGTCGTGGAGCATTTGAACACGTCTCCTGAAGCCAAATGCAAATCTCCTGTTCTTTCTCCTTTAGAGCGTTGAGATTTCTAACGTTTAATAATCCACACAAACATCTCATCTTCACACAGAGAGTTCAAACCGTTAAAAATAAAACACAGCTCCAATGTCAACCATGAGCACAAACTGTCTTTTATTTTGAAATGTGATTTATACTTTTAAATGAGGCTCTCGTATCGGGTTAATGTGAATATATGGATTTTACCTCAGAGCAATGTGCAGCTTCATGTGAAATTACAATCGAACTTAACAGTAGTGTCGCTAGAAAGTATCGCTAAATATAATAACAAAACATAAAGAAGTGGATAGAGCAAATGTGAAGTCACTCATTGCGTTCAGCTCCAGTCAAATGAAGCTCACTGAGGCTTTGTAAAATACCAGATATGGAGCGAACCTGGAGCAGAATTCCATACTCGTAGCAGTAGTAGTAGTTTATTTTTTATTATTTTACAACACCATAAAACAAAAAACAAAAAAAAACATAGACTACAAACCCATGGATCATGACCGAAAGGGTTTAGGCTGAAGTAAAAAGTACTTATAAAGCCTAAACCTATTAAACGACAACACAATTCCAAGAAAGAAAGCAGCATATGAACAGAGGTGGGACCAAGTTGTTGTTTTGTGAGTTTCAAGTAAGTCTCAAGTCTTTGACCTCAAGTCCAAGTCAAGTCCCAAGTCAAATACAGGCAAGTTGAGTCTCAAGTCACTGGCCCGTGAGTCCAAGTCAAGTCCAAGTCATCTGCTTTGAGCTTCAAGTCATTTCAAGTCTTTAAACCAAAATACCAAATATAGCTTACATTTAGCAGTTTATATAATTTTAAACTAAATTGTAGTTATAAAGTCATAGTATATTTATATATGAGTATTTATTGAGTATATCAGAGTTATAGAGATGCAAAATTTTACCTTTTTAAATGTCTTGACAAGATCTTGGAGTGAATCATTACAGTCAGAATAAAACAAATTCAGATTTAAAAGTGCTTCTCAAGTTTTCTCAAGTAACAGGCCTCAAGTCCGAGTCAAGGCCCAAGTCAATGAACCTTCAAGTCCAAGTTCAGTCCCAAATCTTAGTCCATTTTATTAAGTCAAGTCTCAAGTCCTAAAAATAGTGACTCAAGTCTGACTTGAGTCCAAGTCATGACGTGCAAGTCCCCACCTCCAACCATGAACAGCAAGTTTGCATTTGCAATTTCACTTACAACTTACTGTTACATACTTTTGTTGTTGTTGTTGTTTTCTGTAAATAGTTCTGCCATCTTGCATCCTAATCTATATGTTAATAGGGTTTGGCAAAACAAGTGTTAAACTTCAGCCTAAACCCCTTCGGCCTACAGAATAACTTTATTTATATGCATTAACTGCATAATTTGTTGGTTTTGTGTTTTGTTTTGTTTTTTTGTCTTTTGTTTTGTTAAATCATTGTTATATTGATCATATATTATATATGATAATTATATATGATTATGTTAATTGACCGAAGAAAATGAACTACTACTACTACTACTACTGTATGTATAAGAGACAAAATATAAATTTAAACAAACTAAATTTAATGTATAATTCATTCATTCCAGAGCTCTATATCTTTGAAAACATATCACTTTATACTCTTTTTTTTTTTTAATTGTCACTCAGATTATTACTATACTATACTAACCCCTTTAATAGAAATAATTTACAATGATTTTTTTTTTCTTAGTTCTTATCTTCATTTTTTTAAAAGATGGCTTTTTTTTTTTTTTCCCCCCTTTATGGTCATACAATCTAATAATAAGAAATAGGAATTTATTTACGGACAAAATAGTGAAATAAAAACACCGGGATCACGTAAATCGGGTTAATACAAACATTTTAAGACCAAAATGCCGAGACTCACTGCCGCAGTTACCGAGAGCGTTTGACCATTTTTCAACGTAAAGTCAATTGGAGTCAGAGTCGATGGAGCTGGAAGCGTGCCCGTGCTCACTTCCTGTGTTTCTTATCCAACAAAATGCTTTTTACATTGCCTTTTCCCAACAATTATAACAGGAGCGATGCCAGATTGAAAATGTATATAGCTCAAATCAATAGTTCTACACACATCAATCTTATACTGAAATGCCATTTTAATATAGCAGATTGAGGCTCGATCCCTACAGTAGTACATCATGATCACATTGTTCTGATGTTTAATAATAAAAGTACTAGAAAACTCATGTCTTTGATCTTGCCGCCCGCAGTCAATCAAACTCTGAAAACTGCACAGCATAGATTTACGCTGATCATGAATTATAGATAAGTTTCTTTGGTGTACGGTTATTTCTGCCGTGTTATATTTGGACGTTACTGTACTCGTTTCCGCAGTTCAGATTCAGTTCAGCGGGTTAGGCCCTGTGGAGAGTGGAGCCCTACGTTAAACTCTATGAGGCGCTTTCTGAGCCGTGCACCTGCTCCAGTCGCGATGCGCACGTATCTCCCCCCTCCTCCTCCTCCTCTGGGGCATCTGAGCTTAAATCCACTTATTTGTGCTGGAAACAAAATGGAAGACACGTTTGTTTTTTCGCTGTAAGTTTCAAACACGATCAGGGAGGGCTTTGTGCGAGGATTGTAAGAGTGTAAAATGAGAGATTTTTTTGCAGTTGGGGAAATAAGCAACAATACGAGAGAAATTGGTAAAATTGAAACTTGGAAATCCCATTAACTTTGAAAACAGTCAAACAGTGTGGGGCTCAAAAGACAAAAAGGATGATTTGTTGCATATAGAAGTTTCCTGAAAAACATAAGGAATAGACTCGATACTGATGATAAAAACACTCTTTAGACAACAGAATATGATTTTCAACATTACATCATAGTACTTTCTTTTGTATTACCATCTGGTCTTATATCTGTGTAATCTGTCAGTTGTCCAGGTATGTTCTATGCATGCATCCTGAATTTCGGACTTCCGGTCATCGTGCAATGCATACTGGGAAGGATTCCTCCGAAAAAGTGAGCATCAAATCACCATGTATGATTTTCCAGTAGAATGCGTCTATTGACAAAGCAAATATTTTCAAGTCTTTTGAACCATGTCGCTTTTGTTTCTGGTTCTGATATCGTCATATTTTAGTTTTGGGATTTGGACATTGTAATTGTGTGGTTGTTGGATGTCCTAACAGCGGAAAACGGCTCGAGAAGTGGGCTTTGGAAGTTTGTGAACTCCATAAATGCAAAAGGGAATCAGATGTGTGTGACTGCAAACCTCCATTCAAACTGCTTCCCTTCCCAACAGAATTGAAAAATAGTGAAAGGTGAAGGCGATGGGCAGTACTGATCCACCAGAAGAATGAAAAAGGTAACAAACTCATCCCGAGTTTGCAGCGAACATTTTGTATGTGGAGCACCATCAAAGCAAAATCCTGATCCCTCGCTCCACCTTGGTTATGAATTTAAAAAGTCAACGCCAAAGCAAAAGGCACCAGCTGTTCACCAAGAAACACCTTCCACTGCAAAGTGACCAAGACGTGATGTTGCTGTAAAACCACAACAAGAAAGTGCAAGCTCAGTCTGTTTGTCTTCTGTACCTCTCGCTTAACAAACAGGATTTTGCTTTGATGGCGCTCCACATAAAAAAAAATATTTGCTGCAAACCTGAGATTATTTCTTAGGCAGCCAACGGTTACCTTTTTATCTTTCCTGTGTATCAATACTGCCCATAGTCTTCGCCTTTCACTATTTTTCAATTCCGTTAGTTTGACCGGAGGTTTGCAGTCACACAGATCTGATTCCCTTTTGCAGTTATAGAGTTCGCAAACTACCAAAGCCCATTTTCCGCTGTTAGGATCCAACAACCACACAATTATGATGTCAGAAAACTAAAATATGACAATATCAGAACCAGAAACAAAAGCGATATGGTTCAAAAGACTAGAAAAGATCGGCTTTGACAACAGACACATCCCAGTTGCTAATCACACATGCAGATTTGATGCTCTCTTTTTCGGAGGACCCTTCCCAGGATGCATTGCGCGATGACCGGAAGTCCAAAACTCAGGACACAGAATCACAGCTGTAAAAAAGTTTGCTGGGTCTTGGGTCAGGAAATCTCCAACACTACCAAAAGTTACCTACATCAACAATTTAATTACAATTCTTATGATTAATATGATATTTTATTTAGGCTTTAACTACTGTATGAAAAGTAATAGTAATGGTAAAGTGTTTAATGTCGTTGACTTTGTGTGTTGCAGGAGCTGAAGGAGCTGTGTTCACAAAGTCAGTGGAGACGCCTCATGTCCGAGCAGAGCCTTTCAAAGAGCTCAAGTGAGTCACAACCATGGTTATTTATTTATTTATTTATTTGTATTTATGTACAGTATTTGTGTATACATTTACCCACAAACTGATATCCCCTCACACAGTGTATTAGCAATGAACACTTGAAGGGTAAAAAGTGAAAATATTCATGTTTAATTGGATTTTATTGGGTTGCTTTGAATGTTCCACAGTATGGGATTAACCCTTCAAGACCTAAGGGGCAATTTTATAGTACATTTGTCCTCGCCTGGATTTTTTTCTTAGTTTTGCTATTAAAACTCCCCCTTTTACTCCCTAATGAAATGTTATATATCCCTTTTTCAGTACAACCTGTTCTTTCACAGTCTGCATGCTGTAGTTGTGTCATATGGCTGTAATAAAAGCAATAGGACCAGAAATGGAAATGGAAGAAAAAAAAAGGGAAAATAAAATTCACACTCTTTCATATATCTTAATTTAGGGCCTTAGCTACAAAAGTTCCAAATATCAAGTCTGTAAGTAAACTAAAAATATCTTTATTGCCTCAAAACAAAAAAAAAGTGTAATCACCCCATGAATTTAGTGGTGCCAGTCATGGAAACAGCTTGTGTCAGGTCCAGAGCACAGAGCCACATCACTTCCTGCATTTCCATGGTGTTTATTACATTTGGATTTGTAAATTTTGACTGAAATAAACTTTCCAAATAAAAATAGAAAGGGATGCACAATTACACAGACCAAGATGTGTAATTTGCCATTTATTTGGGAAATAACTGCACTTAGAGCGGCTTTTTCAATTGTCACGAACATAGGCATTTAGAGCAGTCGACCATTTTGACTCACTACACTCTTTGGCAAAGTTTGGGCCAATCAAAATGGATGGAGCTCATGTGTTTGGCAGAAAACAAAGTTCCTATTGGACACTCACGTCCCCTACGTCATCAGGGCTAGCACAGGGGCAAGTTTGGAGTCAAGTTCCATATTTGGAATTGCAAATCGCCTGATTTGTTTTTAATTAATGTTCATATATTGGGTCATTTAGAGCGGGTTAAGACAAACATTTTAAGACCAAAATGAGCAGTCTGACAGCAGCAGTTTCAGAGAGGGGGATGACATTTTTCAGTAGAAAGTGAATTGGAGTCAGCGTTGATGGAGGTGGAAGCGTGGCCCACGCTCACTTCAATTTGGAACAAGGTGGAAAGAAGTTTAACTACGTCCATTTGTTTTACAGTCTGTGCATTAAACTGATCTATCTTACATTCAAACACAATAAACACACATTCTTACTGTGGAGTCGCATCTCCACAGATCTGACTTGGCCTAAAATGTCACTATATTTGTATGGATAAGATTGTTGAGTTTAATGCCATACTGAAACATTCTAGACCACTGTTGGGCAAGTTACTTTAAAACTGTAATGCATTATTTATGACTTGTTACTGTCATTTCAAAGTAATTTGTTACATTACAATATTACTGTGGTTAAAATGTAAAACATTTAAATTACTCTCAACAAAATAACTGCGAAGATGCTGAACTTTTGCACCATATATGGACTGAAAAAGGACTAAACCAGGTCTAAACCAGAGCTAAACCAGAACTAAACCAGAACTGAACCAGGAGTAAACCAGGTCTAAATCAGAACTAAACCAGGTGTAAACCTGGACTAAACTAGGACTAAACCAGAGCTCAGCCAGGACTGAACCAGGTTTAAAACAGGACTAAACCAAGACTAAATCATGTCTAAACCAAGACTAAACCAGGACCAAACCTGGACTAATCTTGGATTAGAATTTGGCATCTAAGACCGCCCCTGAGAGAACCCCCGAACGCGATCGGTCGTCAGCGCAATCGGTCGTTAGCGCCATGGAGTGCGGAGTTTTGCGCCGGTCCTTTCACTCGCGATCACGGTCGCACCGCCAGTGTTACACCGCTGCCGATTTTGAGGTGATTTTAGCGAATTTGTATGAAGAAAAATTAAAAACCATCATTTGTACTGACTAAAATATTACCACTTTTTCCCTGTAACGCCGAACGCGTTACTCCCAACACTGTTCTAGACAAAGTAATAGCATCACCATGGAGACTAGAACACCTCTCAATCAGAAAAATGACACAGTTCACCTTTAATCTTAGTGGTGAACAACGCACATCTCTAACCATGACTCAGGCTGTACAAAAAAATCAGCAAAACACCTCAAATTATAAAAGTGGTGGGAATAAAAGAAGGAATTTTGTCATTTTGTGAGTTTAAGACCAGAAAAGGTTCAAGTTCAATTTTCAGATGCACTAAAATCTGACAAACAATATAAAATCCTCCAGCAAAAACAAACCCACACATGAAAATAAAAAGTTTTGAAGGCATTTTTCTGCCGATTCTGAAGTTGGAAATTCTCTAAATCTTGTGCAACCTCGGGGTAAACGAAGATGGCCGCCTAGAGGAGAGCTAAACTTTTTACTGCTGTATACAAGTGTTTATGGGGGTCTTAAAAACAGATTTAGACCATGCTGTGCACACTTTGGTCCTATCCGTAAATGCAGTTCTTTAAAGCGGTCGCCATGGTTATTTTAGTCCTTGTATGTGGGTGTGGTACAAATGATCCACCAAATTTAATCTTGTTTAACGACATAATCCAGTGATTTAAAGCATCTGAACAATTCTGTTGTTTTAATACAGTGGGGCTTAGTCGAGAATAAACCAAGATAGAATAAAAACAAGTATAATTTTCTTAAAAGTGCACTGTGTAACTTTTCTGGTGTGGGTCCAGCATCTGCCTGTCTCCATGGAGATGTTATTTCTTTGCCAGGAATGTTCCACAATAGGACATTAAGCATATCTCCCAGACTTTGTTCAGTTAGAGGTTTTCCATAACTCAAAAATACCTTAAGAAACATGAATTCTTACAATGTGTAGGCTTGCCTCTCCATAGATCTGACCATTAACCGGTCTCCATTGTGATTACATAAGTTAATTTCCATACTTTGGAATAATCAAGGCCAAACCATAATATCTCCATGGAAATAAGCAGGCGATGGACCAAAATGTACACAGTGCACTTTTAAAGCTGAAATAAAAAGCCAAAAAAGTTACCGTATTTTTCGGACTACAAGGAGCACCGGATTATAAAGCACAAAATCAATAATGTTGAATTCTCTCGTCTATTTTCATACATTAGGTGCACCGAATTATAAGGCGCATTAGGCGAAACAAACGGACAACACTTGAGACTGATCTCTTAGTCCAGGCGTCCACAATCTATCGGCGTAATTCGCCCGCGTTTCCTCTCTGTCTTGGTGAATATGTATTATGAATGTGAATGTGGGTGGATCATTTAAGTTTATTTTTTTTATTTCCTACGAGGAGGACTCAAATATACATTGAGTAATAATGTGTTTAATGCAGCTTTGCGCACATTTGTTTACATTCTACAGAAACGAAACGTAAAACCACATGACTAATTTGCATAAACTATAAGTGCTGAAAAAAACAGCTGGCTCCTTGTGCGCTGATGCGGTTCAACTTTTGTCAGACTAAAGGACATGACTCAGTGGAATATGTGTGTTCTTTCAGCGATAAGGCAAAGGTGGCAGTGTGCGTTGAGTCGATGCAGAACTATACTTTGCCCTTTACTCTGCGAGGCTCCTGACTACGCTAGCAATAATACTCCAACAATCCATCAAGCGGTGCGGTGTTGTACCTTACCAAAGTCGTACTAAAACATTTTGACAGATTTGTGAGCGCTGTGTACCACATAAAATCAGTTCGAGGTCAGTAAGAACCACCAGAATTAATAAAAACTTTTTGCCAAAAAGGAGACTTAGATAAAAGCGTGTTATTTTTCACGCTGGATGTTTTATTGCATAGAAAAATGCGTCGTTACTCTGAGCGTGCTTCCATCTGTACAAATCTGACTCCTATCTCCATGGAAATGTCGTTGCTTGGTATAACATTCCACATTATGGCATTCAATTTATCTATTTACATGGAGAGTGTTCTGGAGTATGGTTTTAATTTTCTGTTTCCACGGAATCCTGCAGGTGACGGGTCCACCTCCAGAAAGTTACACAGTCATGCTTTAACTTTTTTATTTTGCAGTTGTGATGCCTTTCAGATTTTGACACTGGTTTCTTCAAATTCTCTAGACAATGGCTCCATATATTACTCTCTATATTTTTGAAACCTTTTAGCCTGAGATACAGAAAACACACTCCCCCAATACTTTATGAAGATATGAGTCAGGTCACTGGTGAATCTCCCAGAGTTCAGATGGGCATGATTGACAGGTGGATCAAAACAAATATGGCTATTTACCGGAAAAACAGAAAGGACAGAAATGGAACTGAAAAAACCTGGAGATTCCTGTAAATTCAATGAGCAAAGCACTAAACTCTTTCTAAAATCTGAGGTGAGAGACATGAGAAGTTGTTTGTAAATGCTGAGTGACCAGTGAGCTCCTTCTTTTTACATGTGTCATTGAAAAAAAAATCTACGAATCCAGAAAGACATCTCTCTATTTGTAGATTTGTAGACTTGTTTTCACAGTACAATAATGTATTTAAATCTGCGTATGTGTGCTTGAGCATTACTGCATCTGTTGCATTAGAAGAATAACTTTTTATTATCCGTCCCTCATGTTTTCTCGTCCCTTATATAATTTTCAGACTTTTATAGATTCCCAGCAGCAAAACAACACTCCAGGTTTGTCCTTCAGATCCGAGCTCTGTAAATGTTTACTGCACAAATTACTTCTTCTGTTATATTCTGTGCATCTTTAGAAACACCGTGTAGATGCATCGAAAAAAGAATGATGGGAAAACATTGTAGAACTATTTTTATTTTAAAGGTTATAAAAAAGGTAATATTTCACAGCACTGAAGCAAAAAAGGAGAATCTACAGCGCGTGTAAGGGCTGCAAAAAGAGATGTCATTGCTCTGCCTGGAATGTTCCGCAGTGACATGACATTAAACAGATCCACCTTACATTTATTCAGTTACAGTCGGTTTTATAGCTCAGAAATACCTAGAA